TATTGGTTTATTGCAATTGAAATGATAAATCAATATGGTGCATTAGTTTCACAGATATTAAGAGTTCAGGACCTGCACTAATAGGGCAATTCAAACATGCTGAGAAAAGAGTTTTCATTTCTATCTGAAAAGGCTTCCTCTTTTGCTGATAAAGTACATCCTCCCTCACCCACAGTAACTGAAAGCACTTTCTCTCAAAGCCAGTTCATAAGTTGCTTTCCTTTCTTCCTTTTACAGAACTACAGAAGAACAAGAGATTATTGATTTTTATAAAACACTACTACATACGAACACACAAACATGCTTTAAAATACTGTATTTCAAGCTATATTGCACTCAGTCCCAAGAGTTTACCTGCCTTGCTGGGAAAGCTGCTTACAGCCTGTTAAGGGTCAGGACAGAAGATTATTTAATTAGATGGCAGCCCTAACCCTGGGATAACAGAGAGGGGAATGCTGACAAATTGTATCCAGCAAGGTTTGTGAGTCAGGAATTTTTATATGAAGAGTAGCGCAAGGCAAGACAAAGAAAAATATGCTCAGGACATCAAAAAAACATGTGATATTAAAAAATCCTCAAAAACTTGAGACAGAGCATCATAAATAGCACTTTCAAAGAAATATGCTATGAAATGAGCTAGAGCTCAGACACATAAGCAGCAGCACAGAAACTGTGTTTTCCAGGCATGAGGTCAAGCACTGTGCAAGCCACATCACAATGGTTAACAACATTGAAGATCCCAAACTGATACAGAGTTTACATATTTACCTATCTGTAGCCTTATCAGTTTCCATCTACGTGGAGACAGATGTTTTTACAGTGAGGGTGGTAAGACCCTGGAGCAGGTGGCCCAGAGGGATGGTGGAAGGCCCATCCCTAGGAATATTTAAGGTCAGACTGGACCAGGCCCTAAACAACGTGGCATAGTTGAAGATTTCCCTGCTTATGGTGGACATAGGTGGCCCCTTGGCTGGACTAAGTGGTCCCTAAAGGTCCCTTACAATCCAAATGATTCCATGATGCTATCATCCTAGTTTGAATGGTTATAATTATGCTGCAGCCGAGCTTTACTTCCAGCAAAAAATGACAAAACGATGTCTGACTCGTACTCTAAAAAAAAATCACATATCAATATTTTAAAAAATATTAGTCAGAAATACAGGTACCATAATGCAAATCATCAAATGCAAGTCATGGTTTTCTACAGACTCTTACCTACACACTAATAAACACCATCTTTCACTTTTAACTTCTTTTAGAAGTTAGATATAAAAGAAAAGCAACTTGGACACATTCAAACAAAAGAAGGGAATTAAAAGTGCACTAGTTCTTCTTTGTACTGCATCTAGAAGTTCAAAACTATTAGCAGCGACATAACTGCATTGCAAGATTAAAATTGTATTTTCCTAAGTTCTTGGCTCTGTCTACTTGGAACTCAAAAGAGTAACAAATAAGGTATTATGTTCCTCATTTCTGTTTCTTTTAATCTCATTACATTATTCAATAGAAATTCTAGCTTCCTTCTATTTCATTTAGCTGATTTTTTACTCCAGATTTACATCTGCTAGATACAGCTCCAATGACAGAGATGCAAGAAGCAAGACTGCTTTATATCAGAATTCCTTTTCCTCTTGGAGATCTCAAGTTATTACTTTTTTGCTAGAGGCCAATCAGTTTTAATGCTAGCTTTTAGTGAAATCTAGGAATATTTTATCCCTAGACATCTTATCAATTAGGTTTTTTTCCCCTCAAAAGAAGAGACATCCTAACCATCCGTATTTGTTAATAAAAACAGGCAGAAAATTCCTTCCCTAGACCAGACCATTTCCTGGTGTATAACCTCCCACTGTGGCCAGGCCCAGGTTCTTACCAGCCTGTTTTGCTGATTTATTATTAACTCACATCTTACACTTATGTTTTAGCACTTGTTTTGTTTTCTTCTGGTGCAAATCACCACCATTCAGTTTCACTCATCACCACCACCTTCACTTAGTTACTTTTGCCAGGCCTTTCTGTGCAATCTCCCTGACCCACTCTTGGTTCTTCCCGCTAAAACTTCCCCCTTGCTGCATATCAGTTTGGGAACAGAACATTCATCAGTCATGAACAGTTTCTAAGAACTGCACATTTATTGTTCTGCTTTGCTTCAGTCTTCTAGAACAGAACAGCTTTTGATCTATTCTTGAATGCCACAGTCACCCTTCATTTATGTAGGTCCCTGAGCAGACCTCCCTATGGGAGATTCCCATTCCTCTTAGCATTTGTGCATTTAATTTCAAGATTCCAGGTTTCTCCATGCACTCTAAAGGTAATCTTTGCTAATCTTAGATCAGCTCAGACTCCCACTAATAGGGCAGCAGTGATGAGGCAGTTTCTCTTCCAGAAGGAGCTGAAGGGAGAAGATATTCCATTGTAGACTGGAAAGTTCATGCTGTCAGCTGTGGTCCTAAAAAAACAACCTGGTTTTAAAGCAACAATCCAGTCTTCCCTTCTCCTATGAATTAGCTGACCATTCACCTTGAACTTGACAGAATTAATTTGCATTTCCCTGGCAAAGTGTCTAGCTATTGAGAGCCAAGGAACAAACACCTGAAAAACATCAACATGGTACCAAGTCTTCTCTTTGGCAGTATCAACACAACTATACACAATTACTATTTTCTCATCCCCACCTCATTTGTTACAGTGTTATATGCTGTGTCATGGTGCTCCAAAATAAACCCATTTAGCAGAGAAAGGCAAAAACACCAAGGAAATGTGGAACCACACCCTCTTTATTAACTATTTTATTTTACCCTTTACAGAAGTTTTTGAAGGTGTCATCTGGCCTACTTAAAACTTTACAATATATAGAGATCACTCCCTGAGGGTAAGCCTTACTTATGCAAGCAGTTGCATTGCCCTAAATCTTGCCTCAAAGGAGTTACTGAGACTACATCCTTCATCTGAGTTTGCATTCAACTCAGTCATTTTATTTTGTAGACTATGCAGGGTACAAAGCTGGCATGAAACAAAGATATATGCATAGACTTTTAAGGATTATCTCATCACTGCACAATTTATTTAGTTTTGTAAAATTAACTATTAGCAGTACTGAAACACCATACTCTAAAAATCTGTTAAATATGGGGGTTGGACTAGATCTCTAGAGGCCCCTTCCAACACTAAATACTCTCTGATTCTTTACCAAGCAACTTTGAGCCTTGATAGCCTCTTGCAATACAATATTAAAAACCTGAGGAAAATAACAGCCAGAACAAAGGGAGAGCAGCCACCTCTCAAAGGCTTGCTTCCAAATGCTTCCTTGCACAGAGCTTCCTCCTGTGGATTTTTTTTCCCCTTTTGCAGAACACAGAAGTCACATGAGGAAGCTGAAGCAGCAAAGCTTATAAAAATACATACATACACACACACACAAACACACACATACATATATATAAAATAATTATGCATATAATAATAATAATATATATATGCAGTTTATAGCTGAAGGAGGCCAGCCTAAGCAGAGGGTGTTTGGGAGAACAAGGACAACCAGCAGCTCTGGCAGTTTCCCTGAGGGAACCTTTCCCTGGGCAGAGGCCTGAATGAGCGAAGATAATAATTGTTAGCACAAGTAGCTGTAGCAGCAATAAACTTTGAGTTTATTAAGTTATTTTTGTACTTATATCTCCTGCCCAAGTCAGGAAATCTGCATCTTTGGAGTCCTTTTCAAGACATTTCAAGCCATTCGCTGCAGACCCAGAGTCACACAGCCAGGCCCAGCACTGAAAATGATCACACGTTCATCTGTCAAATCATACAAGGAGTAAAAAAAAAAGTGTATGCCATCAGCCTGATCAGTCCTGGTTTAGTAGCAAAAAGAAAAGAAAGAGTTGTGTTTTGTAGTTAACATTTAACACAAAAGGCCTACTAAAAGTGACCTTCGGGCAGCCCCAAAAAGCCCTGAGGAGCAGCTGAGGGACCTGGAGTAGCTCAGCCTGGAGGAGGCTCAGGGGGGAGCCTCATTGCTCTCTCCGAGTAACTGGAGTCCGGCCTCTTCTGCCCTGCCTGTAGCGAGGGGACCTGAGAAAACAGCCTCAAACTGCGACAGGGGAGATTGGGATTAGAGAGTAGGAAAAAAGATTTTTTACTGGTCTGGTAGCCAGACATTGGAATGGACTGCCGATGGAGACGGTGGAGTCACCAACCCTGGAGGTGTTTAAGAGGCGCCTGGACTTGGTGCTGGGTGATGTAGTTTAGTTGTTTAGAGATTAGAGTTACAGTATCAGCGTCGGGCTGACGGTTGGACTCAATGACCCCAAAAATCACTTCCGCCCCTGACAACCCCACAGCCGGCCCACCGCCATTTTGTGCTCCCAGTTCCCCACCCCGCCGATGATGTCATGACCTCGCCCCGCCCCCCGGCGCAGAGGAGTACCCGGATGTGAGAGCCCCACCCCCTCCGCCCCGCGCCAGCGCCGCTCGCGCCCCCTCCCTCGCTTGTTCGCTCCGTGCGCGGGTCAGCGGAGCCTTTGCCGCAGTGACGGGAGCGGGATCGGCAGCGGGATCAGGAGCGGACTGGGAGTGCCAACGGCGGCGGTGACGCCGGATAACGCACAGCGAGGCCGGGGTCGGCGGATTCATCTGCGGGGGAGACGCCTGACGCCCACCCGCCGCCATGGTGAGGACCCTCCCTCGCTTCCACTCCCTAGCTCTTCCCCCCTCCCGTCCCGCTGGAATATTCCAGACCGGGCCGGGTCCCCCACCCCCGCCGCCCCACCACCGCTCCGCCTCGGCGCTGCCCTGCCCCTGACCCGGCTCCTCCCGCCCCCGGGCAGTCCACGTCCTCCCGCGGGCGAGCGCCTCTTTGGGCTTCCTCCTCGGCTCTCCCCGGCGGCGGGTGCATCCCCCGCTCTGCTCCGCCGCCCACGGAACCCCGCTGGCTCTCCGCCTCCTCCCTCCGCCGCCTTGGGAGCGCTAGTCGGGCTCGGCCCTTCCCTTCCCCAGCACCCTCTCACCTCACCCCCACCCGACCCTACTGGGGGACCGGTCTGGGGATTCGCATTGCCCGTGCTGCGACTCGTCTGTTCCACGGAGGCACTGTCGGTCCCCGAAGCCGTTTCCAAACGAAACTCCGGCGATCTCGGCGGCGCTGCCGTGCGGGGGTTGTTTCGCAGCTCCGCGGGGTTCTCCCCCCGCCCCCGGTGCAGCAGCAATAGCTGTTCGTATGCGGACCGGAAAGCTGTAATGCACGTAGCCCAATGGACGGGATAATGTGCGCTGTAACTGGGCTGGGGCGGAAAGCTGACACTTCACATACGATGGGTACTCGGGGTCTGCGGGAGTGCGATGTGTCCAGGTGTGTGTGTGCGCGAGAGTCGCTTTGTTTTTTCAATCATGACGGGTTTAAATTTCCTTTTTTCTGCTGTAAAATTAACCTGGAGATACAGTATGGAGTCGTGTAGTATTTTACGTCGACACTAGGGGTGTCTGCTGCTTTTCACCGCTGCCAAGAAATCAACGCCCTGTTTTTTAATAAACATTTATTTTAACCTAAATTATCCAGTACCCTGGCTGTAGGAAGACCTGGCAACATTTTGGTTTTACCGCTGGAGAAATACAAGTAGTTTAAATTTTTTTTGTTGTTGTTTTTAGCCCTTTCAGAGCGAGGCCAACTGGTTATCACAATGCACATTAGACCTCACAGGGCCTGGAAGTCAAAAATAGGTTTCCTTTTGTTTTTAAGCAGGCATTGCAATCTTTCCTTTAAAAAATAAAGTTGTGGCAGAATCAAATATGCCATGCTCAGGCTGATTTTTTGTGTACACTTTAATAGATGTGCATTTGGAGAAGTGTTTTGAAGTATATAAATCTTTGGTTTCGGTTGCGAGCACATCAAGACTGGGGGGGAAAGAAAAGTTCATCTTTCGAGAACAAAGTATTAATGAATTTGAGGCTTAAAAAAATTATTATCACTTATGCCATGGTTGCAATACTGATAGTTACTTTGAATGTATAGATCATCATGAACAGTGATCATTTTCCACACAACAGTTGTGTTCATCCTGCCAGTAGTTGGATCTTCTGTGAAAATTTTGTTCTCAAAGACCTGCCATAAGTGACATGCTAACATATATAAATGGAAAGAATTATTATTTAACTGTGAAGCCCATATGCGTGTCAGGAGACTTTAATGAACTTAACTTTCATTTATTATTAGCTTTGATTATTTTTTTTCATCCGTTCTGTTGTAATTAAAGCTTTCTTATGATCTTTTGATGATGTAATCATGTTGATCATTGACTTCATTGCTTCCTGAATAGTGTTCGTGTATGATGCCTTGCAATGTAGAAATATATATGCTCGGGAAAAAAGATGTTATGTTATGAATGTTATCTCTGCCAGTAGAGGTGCTTGTTTTCTCAAGTAAGCATAGCACTACTGTAGCTATATCACTACACTGGTTCTGGTACCACCTGATCTTAGGTGCCTTTTAGTCTGAAAATCAATATAAAATGATACATTAACAGAAAAACACACCCAGCATTTAAGTTGCTATTCTTCTTTTTTTTTTTTTTTTGTCATTAGTCAGGGAATGTTTTCCTGACTAATTGAAAGAGTTCAGTTTTAATGGGGTACATCTTGTTTCAACCCTTATGGTATTAGAGAAATTCCTTTTTCACAGTCTAGAACAACATTTCCTTTATGCTCTTGCAGAATGAGAGAGCTGACAGTAATCATGAAAAAAGAGGTGAATGTATTGTTGTGTTTGTAGTAGGTAGCTTGAGATAAAACAAAAACATCTAGTGAGTCAAAGAATGTTCTTTTGGATGTTTAGGTATAGCCAGTTCTAAAATAATCTGTCAGAGCATATGATGACGAGTCCATTACATAATGCTGGAAGTAATGTTGATAAGCTATTTTTGTCAGAGTTGACTTAGCAAGTTTTTCCTATGAGTAGTGTTTTCTAGGAAAAGGTAAACAGCACAGATAAAGGTATTAAATTTTTAGATAAATTCTGTCTTCTTGGGATGGTCTGTGTTCTGGTTCATATCCAGATCTTGAACTTCATAGATGTAGTACAGACGCCCCAGAATTCTGCAGGAATCACCCAAAACATGTTACATTGTGCATCTGTCTTAACTAGTCTCTTATTCAGTTGTTTTGACTCACTTCACTTGAATACTAGAGCCTCTAGTGCATTTTCCAGAACTGATCTGACACTGGTTCTAAATTATTGGAGTAAAGAACCTCCTAAGTAGGTTTTTAATAAAATGACAAAAAAAAAAAAACCCATAAGACCATCTTAAACAATTCTTTACTATTTAGCGGGGAGGGTGTTACATGCTTTGCTTATTAGCTGAACAAAAAGCTAGTTATTCCTAAACAGGGAGATAGAGCCTGTTGGTAGAGAGGGGAAAAAAAAGAGTTTTTAAAAAGTAATTCTATTTTATCACCATTCCTGTGGTAGAAGTAGGATTCTGTTTTTATGTGGTTTAACTATTAATTTAACAATAAGGACAATGACAGTTGAGTAGTTGAAGAGAAAGTAGTTTGTGGTGGGCATACCTCAGAATCTTCAGTATATTCATGACCTAAAGCATCTGGCTTAGCAGGTGAAAGGAAAATTTTAAGGGAGTGGATTAATAACACCTAAATTGTGGGGTTTGCTCATATCTTAAAGTAGATGGGACTGTCCTCTGTCTATCAGTGCCAGAAAAAGAGAATTCTGTAATTCTGGTATTTCCAAGGAAATGAGATGAGGCAGAAATGCACATTTTTATGCCAAACCATTTCTCTCTGTCTGCTTCTGCCACCTCATAGAATGGGTCAGGTTGGAAGGTTCCACGATGGGTCACCTGGTTCAGCCTCCCTGCTCAAGCAGGGCTGTCCTGGAGCGCATTGCACAGGATTGTACCCAGATGGTTTGGAATATCTCTGCGGAGGGAGACTCCGCACCTTCTCTGGGTGTTCTGTTCCAGTGCACGGTCACTACACAGTAAAAATTTCTTCCTCACGTTCAGGTGGAACTTCTGTGTGTCAGTTTCTGCCCATTGCTCAGTTTCTGTCCTATTGCTTGAGTCCATCCTTCTGGAGCACTCCCTTCAGATACTGACACACATTGATTAGGTCCTGGCTCCCTCAGCCTTTCCTTCTAAGAGAGATACTCCAGCCCCTTAATCTGGGTGCTGAATTGGTGCTTACCTGGCAGTGTTACAGAAGAAATAGCTTTTTTTAATTGTAGGTGTCCTTAATAGTGTTCTTCTACTGTAATTCATATATTAATCTTGCATAAGATTTTTCGCATTACTATGATTTTTATTCTTCTAGTTTGAAGAATTGTTTTGCTTTCCCTCCCCATTTTTGCTGCCTGTATTTAGCAGTGTTTCACTACAGAAAACTGTATCCTCTCCTAAAACATTTTAAATCTGAGTAGCAGTTGAGCGTAACATTCTGTAGGCTGGGCTCAGTGATCTCAGAAGTCTTTTCCAACCGAACTGATTCCATGATTCCAAAGACTTTGGTGTAACTATATGAAATGATGATAAAAAATTGTTTTAATGAAAAAACATTTTTTTGTAATTTGAGCTAATATGTGACTTCTTGAAAACAATTTGCTCTCAATTTCCTTGCCCCTCCTCTTCCTTGCCAAGCCTGTTTTCCCTTCTCTGTGTAATATCATTTGTCAAGTTGTAATTAGGAGACAGATTAATAAAAAATTAGAACAGTTCTTTGTTCATTGGCAGCCAGTTCGTATAGTGACATATTTTCCAGTTTTCCATTGTTGTTTGCTTCTGGACTATATATTTTTCTGTTTTCCTGACCTTTTTTATTCCTGTATGTTCCTTGGGAGTAAAGGAAACTGGCTGTTTTCCATACTTCCTACATGCTATTTCTTTGCCAGAATCAGCAGAAACAGAGAAGTTGCTACTGTGTGATGTCCTTGTCATGATGCAAGTCTTCTGCTGCGGGAGGAGTGAGCACCGTGAGGATGAGGGAGTAAAAATTGAGATGGTGGGGAAGGAATGATGAGAGGAATATGTCGGCATCAAAAGAGGAATAAAAAGTGCTTGTGCTTAAAGGTTACGCAGCTGGAACCTCTGAGCAGGATAACATTAAAAAATAAGCATCTTGTTTGATTCTCAGGCCTATGTTAATTGAAATATAGAAAAGTTGGAACTCTTGAAACAGTTGGAATTTTTTTGGCTGACATGATTATATAAATTACTTAAATATGTTCTTTCTTTCCCAAAAACGGTAAGAATTTAACTTGCTATGCTCTTGTGAAGCTGGTAAATATTGACCTTGTTCTGTAAATGGAACAGGTCGAGGTCATGGCAGGGTAATAAACTTATCCTAGGTCCTTGTTGTTGTTTAGAAGTTAGCATTAGTATGTGGTACTGGCAATGTGTGTTTGTAGCTTTGAAAATAAATATGTCTAAATCAAATAAACTGTTACAAATTTAGGGGTCTAGGGATTTGGAGTTGAAATGCAGCCACTAGAGCATGTGCTGTGCATTGTCCATTTGGCTTAAGGCATGTGATGGTGTTCAGTAGTTACTGGCTGCCTTCTTCCAACATCTTTGTAACAGTGTTTAGCCACTTAAAGTGACTGCTTTTTGAGATTAGAGCTGGAGATAGGCCTTTAATATCTTGCAGAAGCTACTCTGTTTCTTAGTTGTCAGTGGCCTCAAGTAATCTTGACACCAGCAGTGTCAGAAAGATCAGCTGCAGAGATTGCCTTAATGTGCTGAATGAAGTGGGAAAGTCTTGGACGTGCACCAATGTTTTTTAATCTGTGACAGATCTTTTGATATACCAGTTCAGGTATTCTGGGAAAGTCCAGGACTAGAAGCAGCATATTCTACTTGGGGTAGAATTTGTGCATACAATTTGTGCATGCAGTGCAATGATGTAGCTAGATTTTTTTGGTCACTGGATGAAACAATGTATTTAGTAATATTAAGATTATTTTAACGAGGGCTAAGCTTAAATTATGTCTTGTCTCTCTATTCAGGTTTTACATATATAATTTGAATGGCAGAAATCTGTGGAGAGTTGGGGTTTTTTTAAATTTCAGGTGTGTCTAAGAATAAAACCACCATCTTTCAAGTGAAGTAATTTCTGGACTGTCATTTCTTCTTAATTTTGACATTTTGTGTAGCTTGAAAATTTTAATTTGATAGCTATACTTTATTAGGCTTTTTCCATGTAGACAGTGTTTTATATGTTGCTACAAGCACTTTAACTGTTTGGGCAAAACTGTGTTGATGATATAAAACAGGCTGGAGACTATATCTGACTCACTTGTAACTTGACAGTCATTTGGCCCTGCTGTTGATACTCTGTTCCACAATTAAGGAAGAAACCGAGTGATAGAAATAATCCTTAACTGCATTACAGAAGTCTTGGAAACCGTTAAATGTGTTGGGTTAAAGGCAGCATTTCTTAGGAACTGCCATTAAAAATCTTAGCTTTCGAGCTGTAAACAGGTTGTGTCAGTGCATCATATTTGCAAAGTCTGTGTTGATGAGCATTTTAAAGCAAACTTAAGGCACAGAACTGAAGCTTGAGTCAGCTTAAAGTTACAATAGTTCCTAACTTAGGTAAGGGGAATTTAAAAAAAATGTAGTAAGACATTTATGGAAGCAATTCAGTCAGAATTTGTGAGTGGCAGGAGAGGAATCAATGGGACAACAGATAGAAAGCCCAGGGTTGATATGTTCTGGGAGGAAACGAAGCTACTGGAAAAGTGGATGGAGCTGTGATTCTCACTAGACTACAACCCTAGACCAGTATCATCTTTAAATGCTGTGGAACATTTTCTTCCTCTGATGTATTTGTGACAAATACGGAGATTTTTACCTCTTATTTTCATCAGCTGGAAACTACAGGACTCTTTTTCTACCTCTTCTCTGTTGTTACCCTGTGAGTATCTCCTCTGTGTGCATTTATGAGATGTTTTGGGGTTTTTTTGTAATAAGTGGTAAAGGACAAAACAAAAACCAACTTGTTTCACTGCTGACTGTGTAGGTTCTGAATAGCGTCACTGAAGTTAAAAATGTCACTGGAATTCCCTCTGCTGAATGACACTATGACTAGCAGAAAGGACTTTAAAAGGAGTTTAGTTTGGTTTGCTGTTGGGGTTTCTTTTTCAATAAACTCCATGGCTGTGCTTCAGACCTGAGCATGTGAAGGAGAACTCATGTATCTCGTAGGCATGATGACTGAACAGCTTTTCAGTTTTGTGTATATAAAATGTTCCCTTGGGAAGTTTAATTTAGTATTGAGCCGCTGCTAACAAGTAGTATTTGAGCAGTCATTGGTCAGTTTTGTTGATAATGCTAAAGTGACACTTCACAGATTTTTTTTAGATTAAAGCTTGATTGCATGTAGATCTACTAAAAAGTCTGGAAAAAATCTGTGATAAATAGGAGAACTTCTAAGCAGCAGTAGTAAAAATGTCAGATGAATAAATAGACTTGATTTTTATATTGGACTCAAGTAGACTATCTTGGCACTCTAATAACTTTTCTTCTCAGAGGTATCAACTAAAATACCTGTTTGCCACCTATTAAATTTGTCGAGTTATTGTTATAAAAACAGTGTTAGTTTTTCTGAAATATTTTATTCAAAACACTGTTTATTTTATTAATTAGACTAATGCATTTGCAGGAGGTACCACTGGTGTTAGGGGCTTTTTTTGTTTGTTTGTTTGTTTTCAGACAAACAAATTTGATTGAAATGCATTGAAAAATCAGATAAATGTAATTTGTAAAATATGAAAGGTTAGTAAGTTTGAATCTTGTGTACTCTTGAATATTATAGTGCAGCTCTAGAGATGCAGCTGAGTTTTGCTGAAGGTCAGTTCTGAAAAATCCTCTTTTGAGGGGCATTGAAAAAATGGAATGATGAGTTAAAAGGTGGCCAGGTACCCTTTAGTGGTGAGAAAACAAGTCATGTGAGTAAAGGGGTCTAAAATGGAGCAGAATGAGAAGATGGTGGGT